GTGGTTGCTGGTTTGGAGGGATCGCAGTGCAGAGATTACTAGTTTGGGGGGGATCGCAGTGCAGAGATTGCTGGTTCAGACGAGTGTCGCAGCGCAGAGGTTGCTGATTTGGGGGGAGCGCAGTGCAGTGGTTGCTGGTTTGGAGGGATCGCAGTGCAGAGATTACTAGTTTGGGGGGGATTGCAGTGCAGAGGTTGCTGGTTCAGACGAGTGTCGCAGCGCAGAGGTTGCTGATTTGGGGGGAGCGCAGTGCAGTGGTTGCTGGTTTGGAGGGGGATTGCAGTGCAGTGGTTGCTGGTTCAGAGGAGTGTCACAGTGCAGTGGTTGCTGATTTCGGGGCAGGGGAGATCGCAGAAGGGACTAGATATCACCTCTGGTTTCTCACTGAGCTCCTTCCCCAACACTTGGCTCCAGAGTCCTCCTCAGCAGCAGGCAGGAGGCATCTGTCTCAGTGCACACAGGCCTAAGGCGATGTGGTAACTGGTCATTCCCTGCCCCTCAGAACTGCTCTCCCCTACATTCAGGAGAAGCACCACTGACACTGGCCTGTGAAGGGCATTGTGGCCTTGACTCTGCCCAATGCAGCGTTACAGAGTCCCCCATAATTTACCCTCGCAGTGTGGGACATGATTGGCCACCCACACCAGTTGTCATGGAGGCACCGGACCGATGCTCTGAATGAAGCCAGTCAGGATTGTGGTTTAACATGCCTCCTCTCTCTAAGCTGTCGCCAGGACAAGAAGCCTATATGGCCTGGGTCTTCCTGCGTCTGACCTTGGAGCATTCAGCCGCCCCGTTCTCACCATGCGCTTCCCGCAGCGAGTCGGCCTGGATGGGACTCTAGGGAAGCCAAAGGGGCCTGCACGCCAATTTCTCAGTCAGACATGACTCTCAGCCAGCGGGGAAAACAGAAGGTTTGTTAGTTGACAGGAAGACAGCATAGAACAGAGTTTGTTAGCACAGAAAGCAGGAGCATTCAGTAAAGTCCATCTTTGGGGGAGGGGAGCCCAAAGCCAGTGCTCTGGGCTTCCCCCTGGGCCCGAAGCCAGCTCAGACTGACTGACTTCCAGCTTCCCAGCCCCCAACACACCCGTTGCCTCTCCACCAGTCTTTTGTCTCACTTCCTGGGAAAAGTGTTACCTGGTTGCAACCCCCCTCCTGGTTCTCAGGGCATCAGCCATCGCAGCTGGGGCCGCCTCACCTGCCCCTGAGGGTCTCAGCAAAAGTCACACACCA